TTTGGAAGATAATTTAAAACTGATTTTCAGAATAGCTGGACCAACTCATAGCTGCACCAACACTTTATTATACAGCCTGTTTTCTCACAGTCTCTCCAACAATTGTCATTTTACCACTCAGTTCATAAAGGGTAATTAGTTGTTCTCTTAACTATCTTTCTGCTTTTCTTCAATATCAATGCCTCATGATTATGAAGAAGAAGATCAGAGTGGTTTCCTTTGCATTTTCCTAATTATTAGTAATTTTGAACATTGTTCCATATGTTTGTGAATAATATAGATTTCTTCCTGTGAAAACTACTTGTTTATATTCTTTGCCCATTTATCAGTGGGGAAATTCTTCTTGTGTTTGTAAATGAGAATTGTTTCTCTATATACCTTACATATGAGAAAAACTTTCTGCAAAGATTTTTTCCCATTTACCGGCTTTTTTCTAGTTTTAGCTGCATTAATGTTCTTTTTACAAAAACATTTCAATTAATTTAAATGAATGTAATTTGGATGACCATTTTTACCTACTGTCATCCTCTCTATCTCTTCTTTGCTCCTCAACTCTTCCTCAATATACACATGAGGAAGGTAATTTCTCAATTCTGGAATTGGTTTATATTATCTCCCTTTATATCTAAGTCATGTATTCATTTGGAGCTTATCTTGGTTTATGCTGTGAGATGTTGGTCTTTACCTAATTTCTTCCATACTGCTTTTCAGTGTTCTCAGAAGCTTTTGGCAAAAATAAGTCCCGACCCCCAGCAGTTAAGGTCTTTGGATTTCTGGAACACTAAATGACTAGGTTCATTGGCTTCTCAGACTATTCTCAGATTGCCTCTCCTTTATCACAAACTCTAGGACTGAGTGGTCACTTCCTCCCAGCACTCCCATCATTTCCATTCTAGCAACCAGTTCCTTCCTATTACTGAGAATCTGATCCAGAATAGTCTCAGTCAATGAACATACATTAAACACTTTCTATGTGCTAGGCATATTGCTAAATAAGTGCTGAGGAGACAAAGAAAGGCAAAAGACAGTCTCTGCACTGAAGGAACTCGGTCTAATGGGGAAGATAACATGCAAACAACTATAGAGACACAAGCCCTGGACAGACTAAAGTAGAAGTAATAAGCAGTGGGAAAGGGCTAGAATTGTGGAGGGGATCAAGAAAGGCTTCCTGTAGAAGGTGGGATTTGATCTGGGATGTGAAGGATGCCAGGAAAGCCAAGAGGTAGAGATGAAGAGTGAGCACATCAGGTATGGGGAACAGCCAGTGAAAATGCTCAGTCAGGTGATAATGACCTTTTCCCTTTGGTGGTTTCTGCACTTCACAAAGAATCAAATGATCACCAATGCAATTCAAGAAATTATTAGCTAGAAGGCTGAGTAGAGGAAGCACCAAGCCAACCTCTCTCAACATTCCTCATTGAAAAACTTTAAAAGAAAGCCTCACATCAAATTCTCAACTGGCACAGCCAACAAAAGGTCAGGTTGAGACATTCTTCCAAACCCAAAACAACTTGAGAAGCTGGAAGGCGAGATCTGTAACACACGGGTGGAGGATGGCCCGGAGCCCATGTACAGGAAACACCAGTGGTGGAATGAGGTGGTGGACTGAAAAGCAATGCTATTTAAATCAGTTAGTATTGATGACTTTGATTTAATTTTAGTTGGATTGTAGGATTAAGCTCCCTTCTTTAGGAAAAGCTAGCCCTAACAGCTAAGACAAACTAACAAAGGTATTCTCTTCAGTCTAGGTTACCTATAGATTTAGGAAATAGACAGATTGATAAGACTTCATCATTTAGTAGCAGATAATTTTGAGTAAGACATATATTGTTGTAGGAACAAAATAATCAAAGTGTTAGAAGACTCTTTTCAAAGGCTAAGTTCCCCTTTCTGGCAGTTGGGAAAGGGGGGTTGATAAAAGATTAAGTTCTTTAGACTTACAGGATAAGCTCCCTTATTTTTCTTCAGCTAGAGCTTATGTATGAATTAAGTGGTGTAATCTTCTGAGAATGGGTTTCCCTTTCTGGCAAGTGCAGGATGGGGGGTGGGGGGTGACTGCTAACTACAAACCACAAGTTCCTCTTTCCCAGTCTTAGAGGAAACTATAGGCCCCTTAAAAGGAAGCTTTCTGGTTACAAACTGCTTCAGCTGTGGGGCAAAGACTTCTGGGGTAATCTCACTTTGACAGCTAAATGTTGCCAACAGTAGGAATTTGGCTTAAGAAAGCCTGGGAGAAGCAAACCACTCAGATGACCTGCCTTGTTCAACTGAAATATACTCAAAACAAGTTTCCTAACATTGCTGTAATTTTTTATTCCTCTTTTCTGTTATAAAAATAAACTCTGAAATCATTCCTTTGTCACTAATTACTGAGGAATTAGTTGACCTAAGGGGAACCTGTCAATCATTACTAGGAAATCATTATTTATTTACTTGGAAAATTTGTACCTCAAAATGATTTTATTTTTATTATATTCTTATTATATTATATTTTATTATTATATTATAGTTACTTTATTAATTTTAATAGTCAGAAGCAGCAGCAGCTTTGGGAGCTTTCAAGCCAGAGACAATAAGGGGACTTAGCAATTGGCTAGAAAGAGATTACAGAGCTACTGGGCTAGCTCAAGACACAAGACTGGAAGGTGTTGGGACATTCCATTGCCTGTATAGACTTCTGGGTCACAATTCAAGGGCAGCAATGAGCACGTTCTAGCAAGAGGGAGCAGGGACCCTGAGGAACAGTATCACTTGCAATCCCAATGGAAAAAGGGTACTGAGGGGTAAGGTCACTTCTGGTCAAAAGGGAGCAATGACCCTGTGTAGCAATATCAATTGCAGCCCTAAGGGATTAGGGGTTCTTCCTAGGTAAGGACCAGAGCACACACCAGGAAAGCAATGACCAAACCTCTCCCCAAATCACATCACTTTGGACCACAGAAAACTTTCAAACCCCCAAAATGAGCTTGAAAACATCAATGTGAAAAGTGTGAAAAGGCCTGAAGCTTCAAACAAAATGCTCCCTGCCCCCCACCCTGCCACAGCCTCCCACTAAACACACTTAGGCTTTAGCTGAAATATAAAAGGCAATGGTAGAAATCATGATCTCAGACAAAGCAAAAGCTAAAACAGACCTGATTCAAAGAGATAAGCAGGGAAACTACATCTTGCTAAAAGGTACCATAGACAATAATATAATATCACTACTCAAAAAATACACACTAAATGGCAGAGCATCCAACTTCTTAAAATGAAAAGTTAAATGACTTATGGAAGGAAATAGTAAAACTATACAAAGGGTGGCCCCAACTTTTCCCTCTCACAATTAGGGAAATCTATGCATAAAATAGATTAAAAAGAAGTTAAGAAGAGGAAAAGCATATTAGAAAAGTTGGACATGACAGAACTCTGGAGAAAACTGAATGGAAATAAAAAGGAATATAACTTTTTCTCAGCTGTACATGGCACCTTAAAAAAAATGAACATATATTAGTGTATAAAAACCTCAAACAAATGGACAAATACAGAAATACTAAATGCAACTTTTATATACCACAATGCAATATAAATTACCAAGATGTGGAAACACAGACTAAAAATTAATTGGAAACTAAATCATCAAATCCTAAAGAATGAGTGGGTTGAAGAAAAAATCACAGAATCAACCGATAATTTCTTTAAAGAGAATTAAAACAATGAGGCAACACACCACAATTTGTGGGATGCAGCCAAAGTGGTCCTTAGGGGAAATTTCTATCTCTGAATGCTTATATCCATAAAACAGAGAAGGAACAGATCAAGGAACCGGGCATGAAATTTTAAAAAGTAGAAAAGGAACAAATAGAAAATCTCCGATTAAACAACAAAATTGAAATCCCTAAATCAAAGATGAGATTAAGAAAATTTTTAAGAAATCAAACTAATAAATAAATGTAGGTGCTGGTTTTATGAAAATACTAATAAAATAGACAAATCATTAGTTAGCTTGATTAACAAAAACAGGAAGAAAACCAAATTACCAGTCTCATAAATGAAAGGGCAAATGTATAACCAATGAAGATGAAATTAAAGTAATGTTTAGGAGGTATTTTGCCCAGTCACATGCCAGGAAAACTGATAATCTACTTGAAATGGATAAACATTTACAAAAATATAAACTGCCCATGTTAACAGAAGAATAAATAGAATACTTAAATAATCCCACCTTAAAAGAAGACACTGAACAAGACATAAAAGAGCTCCTTAGGAAAAAATCCCCAGGACCAGATGGATTTGAAAATGATTCTACCAAGCATTTAAAAAACATTTCGTCCCAATACTATATAAACTATTTGAAACCACAGGTAAAGAAGGAGTCCTATCAAATTTCTCTTATGGCACAAATGTGGTTTTGATACCTAAACAAGGCTGTAGGAATATACACACACTAATACATTCTTGATGGAGCTGTGAAATGACACATCTGTTTTGGAAAGTAATTTGGACTTATGCGAAGAAAGTCTAAAAAATGTCCAAAGTTTTTAAAACAAGGACTCTATTACACCCCAAAGAAGCCATTAATAAGAAAAAATTCCCCATATACTCCAATATATTTATAACAGCATTTTTTGTGACAGCTATGAATTGGAAGCAGAGTAGACATTCATCAACTGGGGAATGGCTGAACAAGGCATGGAACACGAATGTCATGGAATACTGCTACCATGCAGTAAGAAATGATGTATGGGATGAGTACAGAGAAGTATGGAAAGATCTTTGTGAATTGATTCAAAGTGAATTAAGCAGAGCCAAGAAAACAGAAAAAAAAATACGTAATATATGTATATACACACACAGTAACTACAATAATTGAAATGGAAATGACATACAAAAAATTAAAAGTACCTGTAACAAAATGTTAAAGATCAAGTGGGACTGAAAAGGAAACATGAGAAGACACCATCGCCCTACCCTGTCCAGGAGGTAAGATGTCCACAGGTGTTACACATTGCATACCTTTTCCCAAATGCATTGATCAGTTGCGCTGGCTTTTCTTTTCTACCCTAAAACAAAAAATATAATTTGTTACATGGCATGGCCCTTGAGGATGGGGAGAGGGAGGGATACATGGGATACCTTGATGATGTAAAAAACAGAAAACATAAAAAAAATTTTTAAAGAAGTCAAATATCTCAAGGGAAATAATAGGGAGGAAGGAGAAAAGAAAGGGGTTTAGGGTTAGTAATTATCAGTAGCAGATCTCAAACTCTGAAACAGATCAGTGATTATGAAAACAATTGTTGTTGTTGTTTAGTCCTGTCTGACTTCTGCTGACCTCATTTGTGGTTTTCTTGGCAAAGATATTGGAGTGGTTTGCCATTTCCTTCTGCAGCTCATCTGACAGATGAGGAACTGAGGGAAACTGGATCAAGTGACTTGACAAGGGTCACACAGCTAAAAAAGTGTCTGAGGCCAGGTTTGACCTCAAGGAGATGAGTCTTCCTGATTTCAGGCTCCACAGAATACCTGGCTGTCCAGAAAACAATTTGAACTTGTTAAAAACTGAAAAATTAATCAATGGAAAAGACTAGGTATGCAATGTATAGAAGCAAATAAATAAAATAAAAGTGTTTAATAAATCCAAAGACAGAAGTTGGGGGGAGGCAGGGGAGGAAACACTATTTCATTAATAAAAAACAGATAGGATAAGGGAAAAGCCAGAAATCTGATAGGACATCAACACCTCATACCAGCTTTGAAATTAAACTACAAATGGATACATGAATTAGGTGTAAAGGAGGAATCAATAGCAAATTAGAGGAGCAAGGAGGAAATCACTTTTCACAGCTATGGAGAGGGAAAGAGGTTATGACAGAACAATAAACAGAGAGAATCACAGAAAATAATATGGATGATTCTGCTTCTATAAAGTTGAAATGTTTTTGCAAAAACTGATCCAATGCAGTTAAAATGAGAAGGGTAACAGTTAAGTGAGGAAAAACATCTTTGCAGCAAAGTTCTCTAAGGACTGTTGTATATGCAAGATATAGAAGGAACTGATTCCAGTTTCTAAGATTAAGAGCCATTCTCCAGTAGGGCAAAGGATATGAACAGGAAGTTTTCAAAGGAAGAAATCCAAGTTATCAATAGCCCTATGACAAAATGCTCCAAATCCCTCATAATGAGAGAAGTGCACATTAAAACAACTCTTTTCTTTCAGTGTGCAAATCATAGAGATCCGCAGGTTCAGACATAGTCCCCTCTTTTTGTTCCACAACAAGGTACATGGAAACGGCCCCTTCGCCAGGTTCTGTTTCAAACCAGAACAAAAAACAAATATACCTATATAATTAAAGGCCACCAAACAAAAGAGATGATCTGGAGAAGGCGAGGGGAAGAGTTTCCAAACACTCCTCTCTCCCCAGCCCTGAGGCCAAATCAAGAATGTGAGGAAGGAAGGAACAAAGGATAGAAATGTCCACCAGAAAAGGGGAGGGAGGGAGTGTCCCCAAAGGCTTCTCTCTACTGACCTCCTCCCCCAACCCCACGACCTGCCAAGCCCCAGCCCTCCAGACAAAGCCCTGGGCAGGCAGGAAACCCCAGGCAAGAGCAGCTCTGGAGGAGAAGGCACACGCAGGTTCACCCCTGAACACACACACACCCATACATATACACATCCACACACACCACACACACACATAAATGATACTACCTACATGTACAACACACTCATAAAGAAAGATATTGATACTTTCAGGACCGTCCATCCATCCTTACACACATATCCTCCTGGGCACTAATCAAAGCCAATGGGGGGGATGGGCTTCACGAAAAGATTGGGGGGAAGAGAAGAAGAAGAAAGGGAGGGGCTGAGGCAGGAGCAAGGGAGGGGGCACTTAACCTCACTCACAGCCACTTAGGTAATAGCAGGACCCTTGGGATCAGTCAGTCTGGAAGATGGGGGTAATGGAGGGAAGCAGTGTGGTACAGAGGACAAGGAGAAGGGAAGTAGGTGAGAGGCAGGCAGACCCCCAGCAGCTCGCCCCACTCACATCCTCCTCCAGAGAAAAAGACTTACACTTAAGAGAGGGTGGAAAGTGGCAGGCAAGGTGGTATCACTGCAGAGCAGAGCGAGTCTCCTCCCAGAGCAGAGGGGGATGGGAAGAGGGAGGGAGAGGGTCTCCAACATCAGGCCCAGAGCAGTAGGGAGCCCCCCAGTCATTTCATTCTGCCCCTATCACCCAAACTGGCTAGGGGAGGGGCCCACAGGAGCATCCTCCACCTAGATGTGGGCCCGGAGTTGACCAGGCTCCCAGGTTCCTGAGGGCAGACTGCTAGGGCTGAGGGTGGGGGCAACAGCTGAGCTCAGCAGGGGGTTGTTGAGGGTGGGCCCCTTTACAGAAACTGGGAGGGGGAGGACAAAGAGGGAAAGGGGGAGGTCGAGGGAGGGCCATCCTGGGCTCCACAAAAGGGAAGAACACAGGAACTGCAGCAGCATATGCAAACCACCAACCTTTGAATGAGACTTGGATTCCTCACAACCCCCAGAGTAGAGGAGGAAAGGGGGCAGGGGTCTGGGGAAGGGGCAGGGCTCAGCCTCCTTTCTCCAGGCAGGAGGAGACAAAGAACAGGCAGGGCTGGGAAGGGAGGAACAGGGGGGGCACCAAGGGAGGCAGCTCATCTGCCCCCCCCTTGCTGTTTATGTGTGGGTACCCTGGTCTAAATCTTATGTAATATAAACCTTCCAGAGCCTGGACAAGGAACCACACCCTCCTTTCTTGCTTAGCCTCCTCTACCAAGGGACTTCATACATTTCTTTCTAAAACTATCAGATTTGGGGTTTCATTCTCTCCAACACCAGCTGCCCTCCCACTAGTGAATTGGCACAGTGGAGAGACACCTCGAATTGGAGTCACAAGACCTAGACTAAAGGTCTGCCTTACTCATTGTGTGGCCATAGGCAAGCCACTTAAACTCTCTAAATCTCAGTTTTCATATCTGTAAAATGGGGGTAATAATAACACCTATGCTAAGTAAATTACAGGGTGGTTGTAAAGTTCAAATGAGTTGTTGGCAAAGTGCTTTTCAAACCGTGACACACTAGAGAAGTGTTTGTTATTATTATCATCATTATTATTCATCTCTGTTAGTCTTTTTGATAGAGTTTATATATCCTACTATTGATTCTTTTCCGTTTAATATTCTTCAGATCATTGCACAGAATTGCTCTTTTTGTAACTCAATAAAAATACTGGGAAGTTAACTCATCTGCTGCAGGCTCCATGAAAGCATCTTTAGGACAATTCCAGGAGGAGACAGGACTGTGGGGATCACATGCTCCTCATGCTGTACCCACATGGTTTTCAATTCTTCCCCTTGGTTTCTATATGTTGCAAGCTTTTCATCCATGCAGCTTAGAGATTAGGAACACTTGCTATGCTATTAAAAACATCGTTCTTGAACTTTTATGGATCAATGTCATGACTAGGAGATGGGGCCGATAGTTTTATTCCATGACGATGTTCCAATTCCAGGGCAATTTATTTTTGAATTTCCAAGGATATCCTAAGGTCTCCATTTATTATAGGAACATTTGTCATCTGTTCACCTTTGAAAGATACTGAGCTTCTGAGGGATAATTCTATCCAACAGTTCATGTCTTGCTAAGTATTCATTAGGTACTAAAGTTTTACAAACCGCAGTGAAGTTGCTCATTTCTACCATTTCCTTCCATGGTCTGTGCTGATTGCTCAATCTGGGCTCCTTAAATACAATCTAAAATTTCTGCCGACAGTGACCTGATGTGGGATTGCCATCAGAAATCTCCTCCATTTCTATAAACAAACCCACTTAACAAGGATGTTTTCCGTGGTTCCCTGTACACACCTAGGTGGTTGAAATCCTGTGGAATGTCACTTATGGAGTGCATCTGGACTCCATTCTTGGATCTTTGCTATTTTATAGGCTTCCCCCAGAGACTGACCACTTTCAGATACACTGGACACATCCAGGGGTAAGTATCTATTTAATTTTTTTAACTTACTTTCACTACTGCTAAGTGAAGTGTTACATCTCTGTGTTCCATAAGTAATTCTATCAGTTTTAAACTTGTTTAATATGCGCTTTTAATGAGAAGTGTTGATCTCTGTGTTTTAATATTAGGTAGATTTTTGTTAGGATACTTGGAAAGTATCTGTTTTTGTCCATTTTTGCAGAAATAGGAGAGGGCCTTTCTACACTAGGCCCTATCTAAGAGGGTGGCTATTTTAAGAAGGCCATCTTCTGGGAGGGGGAAGGGGAAGCAGGAAAGGCTCCCCCTGATTTGGCAGGCAGAGGGTTCTAAGGGATGGGTGGATGAGTCTGAGAGTTCCAGGCACAGCTGTAGCTGAGGTAGTATTGGGGCTACTGTGGTTCAGGCCAAATAAAACAAGTGCTGTATGGAGCTCCAGCCAAGGTAGGCTTCCCCATCGAGGGACGGGGGGGCACCAAGGGAGGCTTAGGAGACACCTGAGACTGTTGTTTCACCCAGGCAGACTTCCTTTAGGAACAGAGAGAGGGGATTCTCACCAAAATACAAGGATTTGCTTAAGGTCTTTAGCCAGGACCTCCCTCCTGATTTTGTTGCCCCATAAGCATTCTACTGGGGAAATCCCCTCCATTAAGAAGGGGTTCAGTTGGTTTGCTTGAAAGCATCAATAAAACATTTTCAGTTAGAGGTTAAGTCACTGCTATCACTGTGGATACCCAAAAGGCCAGAGTATACACAGAATCAACATACAAGTATATACAGGAGTATCTCCATTGTTATACTGCACCCTTGTAGCAGGACTAGGGCTTCTTGCCTGTGACAGAAATTGCCAAGAATGACATATCACCTTCCACCCTCTGGAGTTTACCCTTTCAAAGGCCTCACACTGTGTCTCTATGCATACACCTGGCAAAGATCACAGAGATGCAGCAGATGCCAGCCCTGCTGAAATGGGAATAACACCTGGAAAAGGGAATCTGGGCTGCTCAGCATTAAGGCAGCACAGGTCTAGGGGAAGCAATGGGAAGACAATCA